GTGAGAAGAAAAAAAAAAAAGCTGAAACAGCGGGAGAGAAAAAAAAAAGAGATATATCACATGATGCTCTACGAGGCAGAAGAGCGCTAATGATGGGTCTTCAGGAAGTAGAAGGAGTCGCAGGGAGACAACCGATGCACTGCAACAGAGCATCCCCCTCTGTCACTATCCCGCCTCGCTGGCCCCCACGTCTCCCTCGACGGCCTGTTCTGCTGTTCGCGCCGCTCGTTCGTTAAGTAAATCGATGCGCCAGTGTGATGTCGCACTCAGGCGTGTGTGCGTGTGTGCTGGTCCTTACATGTGCGCTGGCGGCACCGCTGCTATAAAAAAGAAATATGTATATATTTATATATATATATATTTGCGTGGTGGCCGTGAGAAACCATGCACACTCACACACTCAATGCATGTTTTTTTTTTTTGCATTTGCCTGTAGTGCATCCACGCAGAGGCGAGGCAGCGTGATGAACATGGAGCGGAGGGCGATGAAGAGGGAGGAGGAGGGCGGTGTGAGGGAGCAAAGAGAAGGGGTGGCACGCAGCTATATATATATGGCTGCGCGGTACGGGTGAGGCGAAGGAGGGGAGATAGGAGAAGTGCCGATGGTCGCTTCTCGACTCATTGCATGCTGTTGGTTTCTTCGATCCGCCTCTTTTTTTGTATTCTCTGATCCTTCTTTTTGAGGGTGTGAGGGAGGCACACCGCGGTGCGGCACAACGTTGCCCTTGGCGATCCCCCCGCTGTTGTTGTTGTCTTGTTCTGCCTGCTTGCTTCCCTACTGCGTTTGTCTTCTTCAATGTTGCGGTTGCCGTTAGTTTCGTCTCGTGTTGCTGTTGTTTCCCCGGCTGCTCCCCCAGTCACAGGGAGCAGGAAAGCACAGAAGGAACGAAGGGAAGAAGAGCTCAGAAGGAAAGAAAGAAAATCATTTTTGTCCCCATCGTGTCTGTGACGGGGGAATTTTAGACGCGGCACGTTTTTGAGGCGTGAAGAGCCCTGCAGCTGCCGCATCCCCCTCCGTGTACGCACAGAAATACACACACGCCGTGGATAACGTGCGGTGCGGGGTTAGTGTGGGAAGTACAGGAAGCAGTTGGAGAGGGAGAGGGAGCGTGAGAGGACAGGCCGTCAAGCATGGCGTTTGACATGCAGCAGAAGGTTTTCCGCATCCCGAGCAACATCGCGGTGTCGACGGGGCTGCGGTGGGACTTCATCGGCGCTGACCCCGTCGATCTCGACCTCAGCGCCGTGTGCTTCACGAGTGAGGGGATGTTTCTGGACTGTGTCTTCTTCAACCACCCTTTTCCCGCTGACACTGACGAGGACGCGCTGCGAAGCTCTGGCGTGCTCGTGGACCCACAGCAGCTTCCCTACATGTTTGTGAGCGGAGACAGCAGGATCGGCGGGGAGGAGGAGAACCAACTCCCCGGTCTCGCCCTTGCCGCCAAGCGCCGGGAGTACCAACTGCGCAGCAGCAGCACGGACAGCAAGAAGAATGAGGTGCAGCGCATGGGTATCATGGATGAGCTCTTCTCCCGCCTGTACGAAGAGGCGGAGCTGGACGAGGTGGAGGAGGTCCTCGGCGAGGACCACCGCGCCTCGCGCCGACGGAAGCGTCGCGAGTTCTGCGACGAGTCCGTGACGTTTGTGATGCACAAGATACCCTCGGAGGTCTCAGTCATCTTTCTCGTCGTCACAAGCTACACCGGCGCCGACTTCACCACCCTGCCAGGGGTGAAGTTGGAGGTGGTCAACGAGACCACCAACGAGCGGGTGGGGGAGATTGACCTCAAGCACTCCACCGGAGACGGCACTGCCAGTCTTGCCTGCATGCTGTGCCGTCTCCCACTTCTCACTGACAACCCTGCGGAGCCGCAGCTGTGGGACCTGCGTGAACTCAACGTGCGCACGTTTGGTTACACATTTGTAGACGTGCTGCCCGTCATGCTGGACGTCCTCAACGTCGAGCACAATTCCCGCGGTGACGCGGTGAAACGGCTGCCTGACTACCCGCTCACCAAGGATGATTTCCAGCACACGGAGCAGCCCCTCTCAGATGTGCGCTTCGGTGTTGGCTGGTACGGCGAACACGACCTCGACGCGTTCATGGTGATGCTGGATGAAAACAACGACTACCTCGACCATCTTCACCCAAAGCAGGCGAAGCTGCATTCCGTTCACCCGCACGTCGCACGTCACTCTGGGGACAGCCTCAACGGGTTTGGAACAACCGGGGATGAGGAGTTTATTGACCTAATGATGTACCGCATGCCGTCCGAGGTGCACACGATTCTCTTTGGCGCCACCTACGTGGAGAGCTTTGGCAGGTCTGCAGGAGCCCTGAAGAGTATCTTCGATGTCCCAAAGCTCTACCTGCGACTACAGAACCGCACGGCGGAGCGGCCCAACTCGTCTGAGGTGGATCGGTGGAACATCCACTATGAGGCAGAGGAGGAACATGCATGGAAGAAGGGGCAGAAGGCGAATAAAGGCGAGGAGGGGCCACGGGGCTCCATCTGCCGTACCTACACGGGGCCCGATGGAAAGATGTACCCTGTGCGTATGGTTCTGCTGGGGGCCATGATCAAAAAGGGCGAGGTTCCCTTTTACGCCATGTATCCACGTGGCCGCCTTGATCAACAGCAGTTTCAGCAGAACCATGCTGATCATCATGGGCTGAGCGAGCCAGAGGAAAATGTTCCACTGTTTGAATACCTCCCTCTGCACGAGTACACCCCTGTTAGTACGGTGGATTTCTTTTCTTCGCTGATGCCCTTTCTCTATGGCATTGCCCGGTATCGCTGCAACACTGGAGGCAGCGGCACAATGTTGGGAGGAGCGATGCACCCACCTCACGCACCCAGCGTAATGGATGAAGTTACGAGCTGGCACTTTGCCTCCTTTCCCGCCCGTTCCTCCCCGTTGCTGTGGGAGGAAATGAAGGCGTCGGGTTCAATATTGACATATTATGGCCTTCAGCTGCAGTTCGTGGAGGTGCGCAACCTGCGACCGGCGCTTCCCCACCGCTTCAAATGTCACGGGGAGGCGTGGGTCTGTGGAGGCATGCCATCGGGCAAGCGGCCCATAACACCGCACGAGTCGCCCCCGTTCCGCACACCGTACCTCATTCACCGCGACAAAACACGGTGGAATGAAAAGAGCCCGGCAACGTCGGCGCTCTTTTTTGTTCGCAAGTTTGATCGCATCCGTGTGCTCGTCTACGAGTACGCCACGTTGGGCTCCGTGGAGCTTGACCTGCTGCAGTTCGACGAGCTCTGGAGGCCGACGCCGCAGCCCACGAGCCAGGGCTTCAAGGGGGCATTCAACTGTGTCGAGCAGTGGTTCCCACTGACGGGTGGGAGTTTAACGGACGGGGAAATCCGTCTGCGGCTTTTTCGGGTGCCGGACAAGGTCGTGCTGGAGGTGCGCAAACGGATGAGCGCGGAAGCCAACAAGAGGCGGCGGCGGCTGGTGCAGCAGCGCGCGGAGCGAAGGGAAGACGCCGCTAGAAAGCGCTACGCAACCGCGTGTCACATCATGTAGAATCTTTGTGTTTCCTTAAGGAAGGAGGGGCGCTTGGGCATGTGGGAAGGCGGGTGGGCGGATGGACGACGCCAGAGACGGGAGACGGCCTCCGCCAGTGCTTCCCACCCACGTCTCCTTTCCTCGCTGTATCCTTCGGGCGTCATGCGCATTAAGTTGCCAGCTGAGTGTCGCACATCATTGTTTGTTTGTGGCTATGTGAATATGTCTGTCTACGTGGTCTTCACGGGGCGCTCCATCTTTGGGGGCGCTCCTCCGCCAATCCCCCCACCCACGCCGCCAGAAGAAGTCAGCGATGGCGGCGAGCACAAACAAACACACACACACACGGAGAGCGAGAAGGAAAAAAGGAGCGCCCTCCGCGGCAGCAGTGAAAGCGGCGATGGTAGTGGCTGTAGTATTGGTGGGGGTGCTGTGGCGTCTGCGCAGGAGGTGTGAAGGGGCCACTTCTCCCATCCGCCTTCTTGCCCACGTCCCTGCGCCTGTGTATGAAAGTGATGCCACTCCCTCGCAGCGAGCAGCGCGCTGGCAACATTTTTTTATTTTTTGTGCGTGTGTGTGGGTGTGTGTCTTCGCTTTGTTGCCTGCGTACGTCTGCGTGTTTGTCTCTCCCTTCGTCTGTTGGTGTGTGAGTGTCTGTCCGTGCCCTCCTCCCTGACGGTCTCTCTCCTTCTTGTCTTTGTATGTCTGGCTCGACGTAAATGTATTGCACGGACCCTGCACTGCACGGGGTTGGCTGTAATACATGTATACATAGATAAAAGGAAGTGGCAGGGTAAGTTCCGCAAACACGCAGTAAGGACGGGAGTAATGTCGGATGAAGATCCGCAGGACATCAAACTTGAGCTTGAAAAGGAATGCCTTGTGAACGACTGCAACCACAAGGTGGTTGCCTACAACGAGTGCCTTGAGCGCATTAAAAGTGTCCCGCCAGAGAAGGAACCCAACTGCTACAATCAGTACTTTGACATTATCCACTGTGTAGATGTGTGCGTGGACCCAAAGCTGTGGCCGACACTTAAGTAGGGTAAAAAAAGGAGTCATTTCTGTCTAGCCGCGCGTACATGGGCAGGTAGGGGAGAGAGTGTGTGTGAGAGTGAGATGGAACGAAAACACAAAGGGGGTAGGCACGTGTACATGCTCTGTGTGCAGCTGCTGTGCGTAAGGGATGGTAATGAATAGGGAGGCGAATGATTGCAGCCGAAGTGAGAGAGGAAGGGAGGAGGCGTAGTCGTCTCTCTCTCCCTTTTACTCTCGCTCTCTCGGCTTGCGTGTATGTGTGGCGTGCCGATGTTGCGGCGACAACGTGGGCGCCGTCGCATGTGTCTATTTGTTCCCTCGTTTGCAGCACCGCTGCCGCCTCGCTGTGTGCATGTTACTATCATTATATTTTCGCTTTTACTCGGATCTTCTTCCTACTCGTTTTTTTTTCTTCGTTCGCGGTTGTATGTTCCTTACGCCACCCACGCCGTTGCCTCTCCGCTTTGCACGTAAGAAGCGCTAGAGTGAGTGAGAGCCAGCAAGGTAGAGTGTGAGAGAACAGGAGTCATCGCAGCGACGGGCAGCGGTGATTGCATCTCCTCCTTTTTGCGTAGAGAAAGTTTCATTCAGTGAGAGATCCCACCCACCCACCCCGGAGGCTTGACAAAGTCCTCTCATTAGTTGCGAGCGGGGACGAAAGAAAGAAGGAAAGAAAGGAAGAAAGAGACGACGTCTCTCCGTGTGTCCACGAGCCATGTATTTCTTTCAGGCGGAGAAGCAGGGCACCTACTTAGAGGGATGGTCGATGCGCCACTTCGCCTTTGACTCGCAGCGGCGCCACATGTACTACACGGAGCGCGAGAAGCATTCTCACCGCACCCCCCATCACAGCCCTCACACCACGGGTGCCGCGCAGTGGTCCTCGCCGGACCATGTCATGCCGCCCTGGAAGAAAAAGTTTAAGGTTAGCCGGCTCGTGGTCGTCCCCACCGTGCACGAGTTCCACTTGGATGACCCGCACCTGAAGGAGACGGACTTCTTCACGCTGGAGGTGCACGGCAGGACCCGGGCCCTCAGTAAGGAGGAACCGCCGAGGGAGCCGCTGCTGCTGTTGCCAGTTGACGACACGGTGCCGCTGAGTGAAGCCGTGGAAACATCCTACCGTGACCCGTTCCGGCTGTCCCAGCTATACGAAGTGCTGCGGGATCAATTCACTGCACTTCGTCGCAACCTGGGACTGCTTTCGACGCAGTCCGCCACGTCCATCTCCTCCCAGTCTATTTCGAGCGAAACGTGTCGTCCGCGTACACTTCAGTCCCCACGCAGCGCCTCCGCGAAGGAGAAGCACATCATCGCCAATATACGCTGCCGCTGCGAGGAAGAATTCCGGCAGGTATGGTACATCGTGCAGATGGTGCTGGGCTTTGACAGGCTGGACGTGCGCCCCTATCGTGGCCTCCCGCCGTATGACCCACGCAACGGTGTCCCGTTTGGGCACATTCCCATGCACCTCTGGCACACCTTCAAGGCGCTGGAGAAGTCGGTCTTTTACATCTTTCTTCGTGGCGACCTTGTGGGCCGCGATCACGAGGGGAAGGCGGAGGTGTCGCTGCCAGACGCGCATCTCTGCATCACGCACGACATGTTGCTGGTGATGCGTGACAATGGAACAATCCCGCGTTGGATTCATATGCAGAATATAAATACATTTGAATACAACACCGTCGCGAAGCGGCCTTTTTTTGCCCTCCTTACAGACGACCCATCGCCAGACATCCTCTTCATCCCCAAGCCGCCGGAGTACGGCCCCGTCGCCATCGAGGCTTTCTCCGGGGCAAATGAGGTGAATAGGGTGCGATTTGTCCTGCGGGACACGTGTCTTGCATCCACCGGCGTCCGCCGTGTGGCGGAGTTTGTCGACGCGAACTGGGCCACCAGCGTGCGTGCATACTTCAACAAGAAGGAGGAGACACGCCGCTTCAAGTTTGTCCCCCTTGACGGCTTTGATGAGTCCTTCAGCTGCCTTATCCCGAAGGTGCACCTGGCGCGGGTGTGGCGCGAGGTTCTGCAGGAGCAAATTTCGCGCTCGATGGACGACGTGGCAGCCATTCCGCTGGAGGCCGCCGGCGGCCACGCACTTCTTTCTGGCACCGACTTGTCGTCCATGCGGCAGCAGCTAGACGTGGAGCGGGCCCACTCACACGATGAGATTGTTGGCATGCCGCTGGACACGCTGCTCGGCCGCCGCCGCGAGCGGGTGGAGGCGTCGATGGAGGGGCCAAAGCTCCGCCCCGACAGCTTCAGCCACAACCCCACGGCGGAGAAAGAGGTGGTCTACCAGGAGCCGGGCGCCCAGTACTTGAGCCACGAGGCCGCGACGCCGGCCCCCAAAACAGGCGCCACGCAGAACTTCGGCGTGGAGGGCAATGTCGAGGCGCTCGTGAACGCGAGCTTCGCCGCCATGGGAGTCGGCAAGCTGCAGAGTTAACGGCGGGGCCATGCGAGGAGGAGCCGCAGAGGGGCGCGGGGAGGGGGTGGAGGATGAAAACCCCATGAAAAGATAAAACGATAAGGAAACAGAGAAAATGGAGGAGGGAAGAAGCGAAGTGTGGGTGGATGGGAGGAGGAAGCAAAAAAAAAAAGAAGAGACAAGAAAAAGTATGCGAAGGAAAAGCTAACGAACACGAGGCCCCGTAGGAGCTGCAGAGGGAGGAGAGGAAAGGCAACAACACCGACAAAAGAAAGAAAGAAAGAAACCGTGTCCCAAGTAACGGGGGACGTGTGGTGAAAGAGGGGAAGAAGAAAAGAGGGAGGGAAAGGTGCAAGGTCGGTTCACTACTCTCACGGCAGGGAGGAGGAACGAAGAGAAGACGGAGCGGTGTGAGTGGCACTTTTACGCACGCGTGCCACGCCGACGCAACAGTTGGCGCCCACCGCACAGGCACTGCGGCACTCCCCAAGCGAAGACAACAACGAAAATAGCAACAAAAAGTACGCGGAATTTCAGTGATGAGAATCAAAAAAGAAAAAAAAACAAGCAACCAACCAACCAAACAGCAAAAAATGAAAAGTGTTTCTCCATTTTTAGGTTGGGGTGCCGGTGGTCTGCAACCGCGCGTGCGCACACCCACGTTTTTCGTTCTTTCCCCTGCTTTGCGTGTTTTTTTTGTTTGTTTTGTTTTTTTTTGTTTGTTTTTGTTTTTTCTTTCTGTTGTAGCAGCCTAGTTGCAGGCGTATCCGTGCACTTATGTGCGGGTGACAAAATCGGGGGCCACGCAGGCGCCGATATATTTGCTCACGTACGCATGCGTATACATGTCTGCGTTTTTGTGTATGTTTTTGTTCGTTCCTTCTGTTGGAACTTGTTTTGTTCTTCAAACCGCCGTGGGATATTGTGTGTGCTCCCGTCAGTGACGCTGGTGCCCTTGAGGTGGCTCTTTCGTCTCCCGTCCGGCAACATCTGATGCACGCGTCTTGTCTGTGAGGGAGGGGAGGAGGTGGGCCTCATTCCCCACCCAAACAGCAGCACACACGGTGGTATACGGCAGCAACGAGGAGCACACCTATCGGGCGACGGCAATGTGAAAATGGCTCCTGTATGTATGCTTGTGTGTATTTGTGTGTGTTTCCGTGTTGCGCGCGCATCTGGAT